TGGACCGTCTGTCTGAACCCTGAGAGCGCATATTAGCTTATATCTATGTTTATACAGACAAACATTTTAGCACAGAAGTTCCATGACACTTGTATCAAGGCCAAGATTGAGAGAAAATGGAAAGTGGTTTGATGGTCTCAGTCTGGGGAAGTTCGAAGAAACTGGGACTGTGTGAGTTTGCTGTTATATTTTTCTAATGTGTTGTAGATGTTGTAACTTAATCTATACTAATATTATACAGAGGTAAAATTTGTAAGTTTGTAGGTATGTAGGGAGTAATCTTTGGAACCCCTCTGGTCGGATTGCCAAAATCTTTCACTGATAGATAGCTACAATGTTCCTGAGTGCTATAGGCTATAAAACATCACGCTACGATTAAATGGAGCCGAGTAGCGGGTGAAACCGCCCCAGAATAGCTAGTTATTAATATGTTGGCTGCGTAAGAAATGGTTATCTAATATATGTAATATGATTCAAAGTAATTCAAAGAGTTTTTGTTAATCTACATTTACTGACTAAAACCACTCCGTGCCTTCTCCTGCTCCCGGGCTGAAAGTTGGACATTAGCCCTAGATCCCATCTGCGACATTCCAATGACTCATTTAGACGCTCTTGGACCGTGGCTATAATTTAAGACAGCTGAAGTGGACATACCTTGTGAATATTTAGCCGTTTATAAATTTGAAATTTATTTTATTAATAAATAAAAAATATATACTTAAGTATTATTTTAATAATAAATAAATAGTTTATTCATATGAATAAATAATAGTTTTATTTTAAATATGAATGCGTGTTACTCATGGAAGTAAATCATCATCGTCGTATCAGCAGTAAAACTTTCTTTGCTGAGCATAGGTTAGTAACGACATGCAATTATTGAGACTCGACAAGTACACGCATCACCCTTTCATACAAAGTTCCGTTTTAAGTGTGAGAGAGCCATGCTTCGGCACGAATGGGCCGGCGCGACCGGAGTGATATCACGGCCTCATAGTTAACTGTTGTGAATCATTTTCAGCGTTGTGTTTCGCCATGATATTGTGATTACCGGAGGCCCAAGCCTTCTCCTTCCAAAATTCCCAAAAGTGGGCAAGGCAGTTGTAACTCCTTTAATGTTACGTTGGTCTCCATGGGCGGAGATGATTGCTTAGCAGGGGATCGGTCAGTTGGTTTGCCCAGGTATCATATTAAAAAGAACAAAGTCAACCTTCTTAAATACCTGCAATATGTTTACCGTTCACGCACATCAATTAGGTACAAAGAAACAGTGAATGTTAAGCCAAAGTCACGCGACATCTCCACACTTTATCCATGCGCACGATTGATTTTTTTGACACCATTTTTGTTTCATACTGGTATTTTTCATTTGTTTTCTATTTAATTTTTTGATATGAGAACAATTGACAGAATGGAATAGATTTGTCGCCAATCCTATTCTTCTACTACTTGTCCCGCGTGACTTAAGACCCGAATAAGGGAATACTATAATGTTTAAAAGAGAAAACTCTGGAATGATCTTTCGGCGGCGGTATTTCTTAACCGATATTACCTTCAAAATTTCAAGAAACGAGCGTACTCTTTCTTAAAACACCGGCAACGCGCCTGTGACTCCTGTGATGTTGCAGGTGTTTGTGGGCGGTGCAAATCGCTTATCGTCAGGAGAATAGGGAGCTCGTTTGCTTCCTAAATAAAATGCTCCTGCATAAAAATGGCGCTTAGCTTTCCATGCACGCCTTAAAACAACGTTTTTGTTAATGATTTAATGTCGGTTAATCTCATAAAATATGAATAGAACAGAATAGAATATATAATTCTTTATTTGCAAAGAATGTAGGTACAAATTATTTGGTGTTACACAGTTTTAAGGTTTTACTATGAACTGCAAATTAATTGTTAACTAGTGAAGGCTACTTTTATGATTTAGATAAATGATATTATAAGCGGTACCAACTTGCAATTCGGTATGCAATAGTTAACTATTACGTAATTCTAAATAAACTTGTGATTGTATGTCAGTTTTTTCACGCGGAACACTCGTGTTTCGGCACGAATGAACCGACTCGATTGAGGCGGGACCGTCGGAGGCGTCACAGAAAAACGCGTAAAACTACGCTTCGGTATTGCCATGTTAGTTAGTTTATCGCAATTATTATTCGATGGCAGAGGCACGTAATTTTTGTCCAAAAGCTTTTTGTTTGAACGAATGACTTCGGTGGAACAAGCTTGATGCTCAAAAAAAATGATGAAGAACATTAATTAAGTTATAAATTACTTTTAAGGAAACGACCACACTGATTTTAATGAAACTTGGTACCTACTCATTAGCAATTTGTTTTTTTTATGTTGGAGGACGGCAAGCGATCAGATCATAGGGTTGTTTCTCGCTGTGTGAATGAGATCACTGACTGCATAGTGGGTAGACAACGGAACAAGACTGTGTTATCCACAAATTGTTATATTGGGCCTGGGTGGCTTGTCAATGTCGATTTGTTTGTCTGTACAGGCACCCACGACACAGAGAAAAATTGCTAGTATAGGGAAATGTTTTAAATAAAAATTATAATAATAAAAAACATGATAATTTCCTAACTCCTTCCAATCCCTAAATATCCGAAACCCTAGTCCCCAATAGCCGGCAACGCACTCTTAACTCCTCTTATATTATTCGTCTTCTTAAGCAGCGCTAATTCCAATGAGCATGTACTCTTCTGGTTGTAATTCTGTCTTAATGACAATCCTTTTCTCCTTCAATTTATGACCTGATTGAGAAGTTTAACCGTTCCATCAAATAGCTCCAGCTTCAGAATGCTAGATGATTAGCAAGTTAAGCTAGTTTATGGTGTGGGTGAGCCAGGTTAAAGTGTAGAAGAGCTATGCTTCGGCACGAATAGGTCGGCTTGACCGGAGTGATACGACGGCTTCATAGATAACCGTCGTAAAATAACCATAGCGTTGTGATTCACCGGGTGAGTGAGGTTACGGGTGGCTAAATCACTCCACCTCCCCCAACTCTTTCATAATACTTAAACATCTGAAACCCTTATCCGTAAAAAGCCAGCAACGCACTCGTAACTTCTTTGGTGTCGTGGGTGTCCATGGGTGGCGCTGATTGCTTACCGTTCGGTAATCCGTCTGCTCGTTTACCGACCTATACCATAAAAAGTATGTGTATAATCCTTAAAAGATCTGTATCCAACTGAACAATGATCCGAGGTATCTTTGTCTCCGTATGTTTGGCGAGGGCGCGTTCTATTGATTTAGGCAACTCATTTACTCAATGTTTATTTTTATCTATTTATAAATCAATATTAAACCTCTTTACGGTACTACACTGTTCTTTTGTCAAAGGAGTTTTTATTACAGCATTGTTTTATTTGTGGAATAAATTTTTTTGCTACTTGAAAATAATTCTCATATTATCTTTATTTACGTGTAGTTGCGGTGTTTTGTTTTGAATGCTAAGGCTTAAAGCTATTGTTATGCTAAAGCCGTTGACATCTTAGATCTAGTTATTGAACTTTTGACATCATCACCAGCTTTTTTGGGGTGATAATCATCAAATTACTTCTCCAGACATGGTTAGGATGCGAGGAATTAAGTGTCAGACTCTTACTGACTAAAAACCACTTTGCTCCTTTTGTGTCGAGTCTGGTGAGGTACACCATTGCGCCCGCAACCCTGGCTGGAAAAACCCTCGACGGTTCTCTTTTGGTCAATGCACGTTTTCTACTAATAAGGGTTTGTCACACATGTCGCCTTGTTGGAGATAGTTCTTAAAAGATTTCACCCATATGACATTATTGCTGCCATCTTTATATCAAATTTTTGATCTAATTACTTCATTCGCCATGAGCGGGGCGGGAGGGGAAAGTCAGACTATTACGGACAAAAAACCACCCCGTTCCATTACCTGTTCCAGGTCAGGGCAACTTAACTCGCCACCCTGGCTCTCTTCGTGTTCCTTAGTTGGTTTCTTATAATCTCTGCCGAAAGAGTAAGAGGGTGCATTTATCTTTTAATAGACGGTCATCTCAGAGCTTAGACAGCAGACAGGGCAATTTAAATATTAATCAACCAAAAAGTTTCGTTGAAATACTAGTCGAACCTTAAACTAGTTTCATTAAGTTCGAGGTCGAACCATTTGCCATTGTTATTGATAGGCAATGCGAAATAGAAATAGCCAATGAGCCAAAAAAATCTAATAAATAAAAGATATTCGTTTAAATTATGCATATTTTTTATTAAACGTCATCATTTGTTTATTATTAACAAAACAAAAAAAAAACAATATAAAAATTAGATTACTGAGTATATACATTTTTACAACTTAAATAAATTAAAATTTGAATATTATTGACTATAATAATTAATATTATAATGTACATTAGTATTACGGTATACATACATTCTGATATGTAATAAAGTAATAAGTGGACTTTCCGTCCAGAAAAGGAGACAGCGAAAGGCCTAGTGGTCACAGACCAGTACGTTGGTTGGATCAGATCCACATTGCTCTAGTTTCCATTATCCGAAATGTACTCCACCCTGCCAGCGAATGAATAAAGTGGAGAAGAAGATTGTGCGAAAGAAAGCGACGTAAGAAAAGGGTAGTCAAACTTCCGACAACTCAGCAATGAGGAAGGCGACCCAAGGAGGAGGAGGTCCATATGTTATAAGATTTGTCCTTACAAGAATTACTAATAAATTACAAACGTACTCAAAGACATTCAAAAATTATATACATCTAGCGACAGCTACAGCTTGAGCGTGCAATGACGAAACTAAATACCTCCACTATTTAATGGATGTCATTATATATATAAACCTTCCTCTTTAATCACTTTGTATATAAAAATCCACATCAAAATCTGTTGCGTAGTTTTAAAGGTTAAGCATACAGGAATATTGGGACAGAGATATATAAACTTTGTTTTATACTATGCAGTGATGTAGTCTTTAATAACGATTTTGTTCGAAAATTTATCCAAAAATTCAATTAAGTGACCTAAGTTCCGTTAAGTAAATAACTCTGAGTACGACGGTAAGACATAATTGTCCCTTACGTAATCCTAACTTATGCTTCAGGTGGAGCCTTAAAAACTCGTTGTTGCCAGCCCTCTCTTTCAATGAATTTCAGTCGGATACCCCCTATTGGGGCGGTGACTATAGATCGAGGTTCGAACTGTACTTTCTCGCCCATACCCGGGGCAAGTTCTACTCGATATTTCTTCAATATGGTTATAATTCCCGCTGTAATCTGCATCTTTGCAAACCTCATTCCTGAAAAGAAAGAAAAATATTATAAGTAACATGTTTTAAACAACATTACTTTACTAGTGTATACTTTTTCCTCAAAGAGAAATAGAACGGAGAGACCCAATCCTCAACAATGCTACACCCTATCTCTAATCCCCCGTACCTCAAATCCATGATGCCTGAAAAGCACTTATAACTATTCTGGTGTTACGCGTCTAAGTGCGGCGTCATTTGCTTACCATCAGGTAATCCTTACACAGATATGTCGTACTATCCCTTAATCCCTAAAAAAAACTTATGCTTAATATAAGTCCCATAGATTTGAAGGTGCTTATTGCCATAATTAGGCTCCATAGCCTAATTATGGCAATAAGCACGCATTCGTGAGAATATTGAAAAACCAACTAAGCTTAAAAATACCTACATAGGAAATACGTTACACATAATAAATCAGTTTATTTATTTATTGCAAACACACAGTAAACAATGTACCAATTATCATCATGAAGTCAACAATCTAATTGTGAGCGTTTTGATAATATACTTCAGAAAAGAGGCTCCTTAGATATTATTAGATTTCTAATTCTTATCTGCGTGTAGAATATATTAATAATTTTTCCCCTATCACTCCTTTATTTTATCAATACAACATTTCTCAAGTTTTTTTTTGTCAGGGGAAATAATCAAACGACTTCTCCCGCCCAGCCCAACGACCCCCCGTTCCATCTCCTGCTGTGGGTCGAGGCCGCGGTGACACATTGCGCTTAACTCGCAACCCTAGCTGAACATCAGATCTACAGGGCCTCGTCTGTGGTGGTCTATTGGCTCTTTGAGGCGCTCGCGAAACGCTACGCGCCGTACGCTCGGGAAACACTTGCCACGTAGGGGATTCATGCTTCAGGACTAATGGACCGACTCAACTGGAGTGATACTATGACTTCATTTAAGACAACACATTTTTTTTGTCCTGAGCTGCCTGCATGAGGCAATCTGAGGCAGTCTCCACCCTTATATTATGTTTATGATGATGATGAGATCCGACAGACCATTATAATATGCCGATATAAATATCTACATATACTAGCCATATAAATATTTGTACATTTGTCTACTACAGATCGATTTGAATTCTATTTTCATGTTCATGTAAAGAGAAGATGACACTAATATTCGACAAATTATATTCGGTTGATAGTGCAAAACATCTTTTGATATGGTTGAAAAAACCTCCAATGACACTGTCCGTCCTAGAAAGCGCCAACTACGCATAGTGTATTAAAGAAAATCGAGTCCAGAAAACAAATAAATTACCTTTTGTCAGCTGATCGACTGCACATTGAAAGTAGTTTTATTTGCCAAATTATTAGCAGAATCAATTCAAACGTCGAATTTATTGATTCTAAAATGGCAGTTACTAAGTTTGCGATCCGCTATAGAACTGACTGAAGTACTTACATCTTAAAACTGGTTTGAAGTACGCTTTAGAAGTGAATTTAGATTTGCGTTTTTATGTTGGAGCAAATATTGTTAATGTTATGGTTTTTTCTAGAGTTGAACAGCGATTTTGCTTAGGTATAATCATAATTCAAACCTAATTATGGTAGATAATCATCATCGTAACTTAATCTATTCAATCATTGGTAGTGTTTTGGGCTTGGTTTTAACCATTTTCAAGTATTATGTTTACATAATTTAAATTTAAATAGGTACCTACCTATTTGTTTGCAATAAAAATGAACGCTTATTTTATTTAATTGTAATCGGTTCCTATTTTGTTTTGCTAATTATACATAAGTATTATGTATTGACTCATTATCATAACGGTGTTTATCTCTTACATATTTTTTGGTTTATTTTGCTTTGCTATCTTGATTGACCAGTGCGTATTACGCAAATACTGCGTAGTCATATCAATAACATATGTTTAATATTCATGTTATGATGTTATTATTATTGTTGCTAAGACAAATGGAAACGTTTAAGCATGTTAACATGTTAAGCGTTTCATGTAAAATCAGGATTACTCCACATTGGGCACATGTTGAGACCCTGAGGTATCCCTAAAAGTTACTATAATAGTACAAAGGTAATCGAAACTTACCAATGCATAGTCGAGGTCCCTCACCGAATGGAAAGTATGTGTATGGTGTAATATTCTTCTTCTCTTCACCCAGGAACCGCTCCGGACGATACTGCTCTGGTTCCGGGAAATACTTAGGGTTGTGTTGCATGTGGTATACTGGCAAATGTACGCGTAGACCTTTCTCTAATTTCAATCCCGTCGGGAATGTATAGTCCTCAATAACCTCTCGAGTTAGAACTCCTAGCGCTGGGTATAGACGAAGAGCCTCATCGACACACGCTTCAATGTAAGGCAACTCAGTTGTGCATTCGTACTTCAACACGTTATCATTGCGTTGCAAGTAGTTGTCCACGTCTTGGATCGCCAGCTCTTGAGCTCTTGTGTTCTTCGCCAACTCATAAAAAGTGTAACTCAACGTAGTCGCCGACGTCTCATACCCAGCAATAAAGAACAAGAAACATTGTGAGATCAAGAAGTCTTCGTCCACGTCTAAACTGACTTTCTTTCCTGATTCTCCTTTCATATTTGTTAGACTATCTCCTGTCACAGTTTTGTTGTTGTAAAGCTTCAATATGAGATCAACAAAGTCATTTCTTGAAGTCGGCTTGTAGTCGCGTCCTTTGAAAACACCAGTCATCAAGTTGGAGAAGAACCGATCAACATCGACAGGGAATGATTTACCCCCACAAGCATAAAAGATAGCTGGCCAAATACTTCTTGCGACAAACTTGAGTGCTCTCAATCTGGCAGTATCGAAGATAACATCACCAATTTTTGTGAATGGATTATTGTCAGTCTTCACCATTGTCCAGGTCTCAACTCCAAAAGCACAATTTCCAATAGCATCCATTGTGAACTTTCCCGTGAGGGCTCGCACTTCTATGTTTTCATTCTTCTGTATTTCTTGGTCAATCATGTTCTCAAAGATACGAGCACATTTCTCGATCAGGTGGAACATATTCTTCATCTTGGCTGATGAGAATAGAGGCGTTAGGTTCTGACGCAGTACCTTCCACCTGTCACCATAACTGAAGAAGAGATTTTGCGTTAAGACTTCCTTCTCGGAGTATGAGGAGACTTCACGCCCACTGAAGAAGTAGTAGTCCTTTGTCATGACGGTTTTGATGTATTCTGGATCTTGTAGAATAAGAGCCGGTTCCGTACCAAAGTAAGATCCGACATATGGTTCTTCAGGGAACTTATTACAGATCTCCTGTTCAACGCGGCCATAGTACTTCTGTTGGAGAATGTATTCGGCGAAATTTCCCACAATTGGTTTTGGTGGTAGGTGCGGTACTTTCTTCTTCTCCCAGTATCTGAATTTCCGTTTTGAAACGAGGTAAACCCCGTACAAAGCCAGTGATATCGCGAGCAACAGATACAGCGTGATCATGTTTGGAGGCTTAGCTGTGAATGATTACTGTAGCCGCTTTGTTTCGGTATTTATACTGCTTTAGATAATGAGTTAAGTACCTAATGATGACAAGGAATTATTATTTTTCAGGACCTCGTCTTTGAATACGATAAAAGATAATAGCTGATAGTTGATCTTTTCATTTTAATATTTAATTTGTTTTGGAAATAACATTTAAAGTAATTTCGTTTAGAATCTAAATGAGAATCTTTTATTGTTTCGTCTAATTACATCACACATTATCAGCCTCTAAGAGCCGACTGCTGAGCAAAGGCCTTCTCTCCTTCTCACAAGAATAAGGATTGAACTTTTTATTTGTATGAAAACCGTTGCCCCGCTCTAGGACTATCTCCTGTGTCGTGGGTGCGGTTATAATCATACAATTTCACATAAACATTACACCCAGACCCGGAAAACAACAATTTGTGGATCACACAAAGAGTTGTTACGTGTGGGAATCGAACCCACGACACGCTGCACGATAGCCAGTTGCCCAGCCACCGCACCACCCAAATTAATCGTCATGCTTTCTCAAGGCGGATCGGCAATTTCGAACTTACTACAGGGTTACCTTACGATGATTTCCTTCACCGTATTTCAGTGGTGTCCAAATAATTATATAAAGTACATACATATAAACCGGGAAAAAAAACATTGGTATTTGCCAGGTGTTGAACTCGCACCCTCGTGCATGAGAAGCGGGCGCCTTAACCTCCGGGTCACCACGACGTTATGTGGTGTTTTCGTCTAAATATAATAATAATATAATATAATAATAAATAATTTAATAATTTCATGCGAAGATTATTTTTCTAAAAAAAAACCTTCCCCCCCTGGTTTTCTCCTGTGTCGTGCGTGCATTTACAAACATACAAATTCACATACACACCCCACCTAGACCTGGAACAACAATTTGTGGATCACAAAAAGAGTTGTTACGTGCCCAGCCGCCGCGCCAACCGTGCAGTCAAAGATAACTATTAGATTCTTTTAGATGACTTGTAACTGTGCAATTTAGATGCATTTATCCTCGAAGGAGTAGGCAAAGTTGCACATAATGATACTTATAGGGAAAGTGTGCATCCACTTATCATAAGTAATGTTATAAGTCCCATGAAATTGGCGATGAGTCCACCAGTCTAGTGAGGGGTTCTCAGCATGGAGAGTTTCTATGGTGCCATAGAAACTGCTGAGAACCCCTTCTGAAACAGTTTCCCGTTTATGGGAAGCAATATGATATGGGAGAGCCATACTTCGGCACGAATGGGCTGACTCGATCGTAATGATACCACGGCCTCACCACCGGCGTGAAGCAACAACGATACGTTGTGTTTCGCCCAACTCTTCACGCCCCATTCTTAATCCTCAAATCTTCTATCCATAAATCCCTAACAACTGAAAAGAGGCCGACAAAGCACGGGTAAATTTTGAAAAATCCTCCTTTTGTAAATTGGGAATCGAAGAACCGATGACCGTTAGGGTAAAAGTGTTCTAGAGTGGAGACCGCGGCTAGGCAAACGTAGTATAGGGCGCCCTCCAGCTAGGTGGATTGACGACAACCGCAAGGTGGCTGGCAGTGGTTGGATGAGAAGAGCTGAACATCGGGCTCAGTGGCGTGCAATTGGGGAGGCCTATGTCCAGCACTGAACGACATGAGGCTGATGATGATGATGATGATGATGATGATGAAATTAAGAATAACGATGAGCAGCATTACTTACCTTCAGATAATCCGTCAGTTAGTTTGCCGACCTATGCCACTTTGGGCTCAATCTATCATTACTACTTTCTATCAAAAACTCCTCCTCATTGTGTGCATTATTTGGTGGTGTCCATGGGCGACGCCGATTGCTTACCATTAGTTAATTCGTCTGCTCGTTTGCCGGCCCATCCCCAAAAAAAGAAGAAATAGCAAGGAACCAGCAGATTATTTTATGTATTTTTTATTCGTTCTTATTAATATGCTCTGTACTACGTTTTGTTACGAAATATCTACGCACACCTAAACAGATAACTATAACTACATGTGTTTTTACACCAACCATAGTCATAATAGATTGTATAAGTTAAAGTAAAAACATCCTTATAAGATGATTTACGATGTATAACAAGACAATTTTTTTAAAAGACATTTTTTTAAAATAGGTCGACGTTCTAATAATTTTGACGAAGTAAACAGCTCCATTCATCAAGTTCATAATTGGTTTACAGTCAATAATTTAGCACTTAACGAGAAAAAAACAAAATGTATTAAATTTAGCTTGCCCAACGTACACAGTAATGATTGTAGCATAATTTTAAATGGGCAAAAGTTAGAATTTGTCAACGAGACAGTGTTTCTAGGTATCACACTAGACAATAGACTTCAATGGGGTTCCCACATAAAGACGCTTTCGGGGAGACTAAGCTCTGCTGTTTTTGCAGTTAGACAGATAAGACAGCTCACAGACGTGAACACAGCAAGGCTTGTCTATTTTAGCTATTTTCACAGCATTATGTCATACGGAATTTTGCTGTGGGGTCGAGCTGCGGAAGTAGAATCAATATTTATTCTACAAAAGCGGGCTATCCGAGCGATATATAACTTGCCCCGTCGCGAATCTCTGAGAGAACTATTTAAAACGATAAATATCCTGACGGTGCCTTGTCAGTTTATATATGAAAATATTATGTATGTAAGGAAAAATTTGCAATTATTTGAAAAAAGAAGCGATAGACATAATTTTAATACAAGAGGCAAAGATAGGCTGGCTGTGCCACGATTCCGTCTGTCCAAGGTACAGAAATCCTTTATGGGGTTCTGTGTAAATTGTTACAATAAAATTCCAAGTACTGTATTGAATCTTAACGAAAGAAAATTTAAAACTTATATTAAACGTGAATTGTGTAGACAGGCATACTACAAACTTTCAGATTATATTGAGGATAAGAATGCCTGGCAGCGTGTTGATTCGGCTCCACTGGACAATACTCAAATATAGTCAGCAATTAGGTAAAATTCTCAAAAATAATGCATCCTTAATTTATATATCCAAAAAGTTTATATAGAAGCACTCTTAAAGATTGTGAGTACGCATATGTGAGCGCCATGTTCGAGACGACAAAGGAGTAAAATTTTATGATAGGTCCCCTCATTTGTTCTTTTTTTTAACAACTTGTCTCTGCATTGTTCTCACATAAGGGTACACTAATGTATACTATAAATGTTATATTATTGAAATTGTAAAACAATTTTTTTAAAAAAAAAGAGTAACGAATGGAGTTTCTTACTCGTTCTTCTCCATGCGAATCTACAATTTGGAATGAGCACCTAGCTTCACTGACGAACAGACTGACAGACTACTTTTCTATTTTGACGTTTCAAAAGTACCTATTGATGGTTTAGTTGGAATAAATGATTTTGACTTTGACTTTGACAATGTTTTTATATTCAGTTTAAAAGTATTTACGTAAAATTAGATTATGCATATTTTATTTTTAAATCTTGAACAAATTTTATTTATTTATTGGACACAATTGGAGATGGTCATATATGAGTTTATTTATCCTATTTTTTGTTTTTATAGCTATCGGATTATCCTTAAATTTTTGTAGTTCCAACATTAAGTTAAATTTAAATTACTTAAGTTAGGGCTGGTTTTTCAATAGCCAAATAAATGATATCTGAGGAATAAAATTGTTGCTGTCACTGTCTTATACAAACATTTTGACGCGACAGCATCGTAATTATTGCGCAGATAACTTTTATCTAAAAACTAACTATTGAAAAATCACCCCTTAAAGACTTCGACATGAAACAAAACTATCGATTATAAATATAACCTCCGTGTTATATCTCAAACAACGGCTATCATTCGATCTTTTTGAAACGGATGAGAGTGATATGTAATGTGTGAAATTGTGTTTGTTAACCAACCAATGGCAGGCATCGCACAGGGGTATATTTTAGGTCCAAGAAAAAAGGGGTACTTTGAATTTTAGATCCGATAATCTGTTATGACTATGTTCTGCAAGATCGTGGCTAGCATGATGTTGATTATGACAAAACTTTCCAAATCACCAGGTTTAAAACTAAGTAATTAATGTATTCATTAAAATACTTGGCTACGCATCCCTAATTGCCACGTGATTTTAAATCTGCTCAGATTTTTGCTAGTCACTATGAAACGTTCAAAAGTTTTATCGAGCAACAGTACTAGCGATGTTTTGTTTTGACGTAAATAACATTAACTACTGAGTTATCGTACCCATATTTAATTATGTAAATGTCTGGTAAAATATTACTATGTATACCAAAGAGTGGGAAAAACATCCTTCGGCACGAATGAGACGGAAACCTCAATGGTATTCAAACCATAGTTTCTGAGAATACTGCCTTCTGATAAAGGTCACCGAAAGCTCAATCCGTCATCCTCAATAGGGTAGTTTCCAACAAGTCAAATTCAATACTTTTATCGAAATGTCAAAAACGATAATTTTCTATGAATCTTGTATGAGATAGCACGTTGTGACGTCATAATATTTTAACGTCAAATAGTATACTTATTTCTCTTGAACTAACAATAAAAATACGAATTTTAATAAAATAAAGATTTAAAAAAAAGAATAACGTGAAATAATGAATGAAGGTATGACTGGTTTTCAGTATTTTTATAGTTTTATACGTTGAAATAATTTATTTTTGACTGAAGAAACAAGCCAATTTCGTTAAAAAGTCTGCAAAAATACTTGCACCTCCTATGGAGTTACGGGTGTCCATGGATGCTACCACCAGGTGTTGCTCGACGATCGCCATATCCCATAAAAACAATCAACCTCCTTGATCATGAAATTTTGGTCAGTAAACTGTAGTATATGAAAAAAGAGTTGTCCCTACGCAACGGGGTCCTTAACTTCACCTGAAGAAGGGGTCGTGATTGTAAGAACCGTCCGGAGGAAATGCTAAGGCATATGATGGTGGTGTGCCATGAGGGCTGAAAGACATCACGACCTTA